TATTTTCTATGGCATAGTATAAACAGGGTGATATAACTTAAGCCCTTGGTATATATTTATTTTTGTTAGTCAATTCAAAAGTCTGTTACACTATGGTGGATTTTATATTATGGTGTGTCTTGGATAACACTTTAATAATACTCGGCCCATCCACTGAGACACTATAGACAAATGAAAAATTGACATTCAATCATAATACAGAACCAAGTAATTCTAGCAAGCTGGTATTGATAGTGTACTTTACCTCTTCCACTTTGTTTTAACTTGCCTAGAACAACATTGAATCGCCCAAAATCACCTTACGTCGCCTAATCGTACGGCGATGATGGACTAGGGAGAATCGAATCGTTTGGTTTTCTTCGCTATACTTGTCATACCACTTTCCATATGGATCGCTTTTGAACTGTCAACTGAGATGAAGGAAAGTTGCTGCAGTTCTAAACTATCGAAACAACAGCTTTGAATATTCAGTTAAATTGAGGCTGAACTTTTTCTCCTCAAAAATATTTCGTGGGGCTTAGCAAGCCGATGAACACAATCTACAAAAATGACTCCATAGCACGAAGCTAATCTTGCCATGCGAGGCTGCATGGACAGCTGATGCCGGCTATTTTTATTTGAATTTGAAGGTCTGGACAACAGTTCCCTGGAGTTCTTATAACCAAAGGATTTCTCTAGTTGCCCCACTGACCCAAACGGTTCATCTCTTCTGACAAATCGCGCGGCACCATCTCCTGGCTCAACTGCGTTCGGTTCTCTCATCCCTAACAACTCTAGCACAACCTTTCGAAACTGGCGGTCTCTGTAACAGTACAAGATAGGACTTACTAGAGAGTTCATATGCATCAGTGCCTCCCCCAAACGGGAAAACGAATTTGTTTCAAACACTGAGGAAATGTGTTCCAAGATAACCATTCTAATCGCTGGGAGAAACGACAAAATTAGTGCAGCAGTTAGCAGGCAAGTCGTCTTGGCACTCTTCGATTCGAGTTTCGCTTTTATCAGAGCGTTGACTTGGCTGATTTCGTTTATTTTACGTTTGCGTACTCCAAGGAACACCACGATGTAGAGGTACGCAATAGCTGCTAACCAGATAAATGCCACGGCAGCTTCTACAATTAATGTGCCTGATTTGCACAACCTCGCGGTCAACCTCAACTACTTTCGCTGTGAAAGGTGGGACCATCGCTAACACGGGTAACAGCCAGGCGGCTATCGAAAGTTTTTGGAGGAGACCTTTTGTAACGATAATTTTGTAGTCGATGAATTTGTGTATCGCCACGTACCTATCCCAAGCAATCCAAGTTATATGAAAAAGAGAGGACGAGCAAAGAAAAATGACCATGGGTTTGTTCATTAATGAATCTAATGTACAGATATGCTCAAGCGAAGTATTGTGGAGAATTAATATATCAACTGTGGCAGATAAGGGCATTGATATGGCGCCAACTAGAAGATCTGCGACAGCCATACTAGACAGCGGAATGTTGGCAGGCCTTTGCAGTTTTTTCCTTCGCTTGATAGCAATGATTACCAATAAATTCAACAGAATGGTAACGGGCGAGGCAATAGAGATCCAAGTAATGGTGGTATTTTTAGGGTCCCAGGTAAAGTGTGGATATTGCGGGCAAAAATACACTGACCTGGCATGAGAGGGATCAATGTCGCTTGTTTCTGTGTTATTAACATCCATATATGCATACTGTAATAGCTTCGCCGATAAACGAACTATTTAGCCTAAGGTACGGTTTGTTTTGGGCGAATTTCGGTCTTTGGTCTGTTTGGTTGTGCGAACCTTGTCGAATAGGTTAACCGACTTTAAACCACTTTTTTGAGCAGTTTTGTAACATCTCAAAAAAACAACAAAAAAAACAGTGAAATGCAAAGCTTCCTCAGTTGTATACCAGGGAGTACCACCTCTTTTAGTACTGTTAAGATTATTGGCGTATGTTCCTAATTAATGTATTCTTGAACTACTGCCTTTGAATGTCGCTCTTCATATCACACAGCCTTTAATCTAGTGCTTTTAGGCGCCAAGGAAAATTGCTCTTGTCTTATGAACGAATGGCTTCGATCTGAACTGGAGTGTTTGCCGGACTCATTAGTGCGGCTAACTCTGTAACTCGCACTAACGAGGGGTTACTCATAAGTGTCTGTTGTAATGAGCTTTCATCACTCCATGCACGAAGTTTTAAATCAGGTAATCTGTTGTCTCATGCTGCATAATGCAATGTTCACCGATAAACCAAACTAATTAGTTTTAGCTGCCTTTGGCTTTGGCGCAATAAAGGCTTTGGTCCCAAACTGCGGTTTGGTTACGAGGTTCTGTAGTATGTTAACCAACTTTTTAACTGGTTTTATTCTACGGCTAGCTCCGTGAGTGGGCAAGAAGAACCAAATACCGCGCTGTGATTGGCTAATCCAGCGGACACTATCTTGCCTGCTCGGGACTAACCGCTATAGCCCGCAAGAAAAATTTCCTTCAAAGCCATGTAACAATTGCTTGTTTGGTCAAGATGGCTGGATATTGGCCTCAATCTTTTTTTTTTTTTGCGTTGTTTATTGTCCTTGACTCTCAACTTCGCCATTATCCAGCCTTCTTGACCTCACGCTTGATCAATAACCCATATTTATTGAAGGTCGCGGTTTAGTTCTTTACTCCAAAAGCGTAGACTTTCATGATCAGCGAAGGAAAACTCTTACGGCTGTGCTTCTTTCAAAGCAAACAGCTGTGGGGAGAAAAGTTTTCACAGGGCAATAACAATAAAACGAAAGGTAGCAATTTGTTAATGGACTAATTATTTGTTAGGCTTTTGGCCATACACTCTTTTTTCCATGAGAATATATTTTGTAAGAGTATAGAGGCTGAAATTTGTGAAATTTTAACAATATTTTAAGAATAAACCCGAGACTGAGATCGCGAAAAGAAATATCATGTGTTGAAAATTTGTAAATGCAAAACAGTAATAACTCTTCATGGTTTTCGGGGCGGACTTCAAAGACAAATTGACTTGTTATAAGAAACAATGGAAACGAACTCACAAGCTGCATCAAATCTTTGTTTGTCTTTTTAGCAGGCTCGGGAAATGGTATTTCCGCGGAAATCACCATGTATGCTTGTATTTTTTGCTGGCCCAAATGGCCGACTGCCGACATGGTATATCAACCGCTTTGCGGTGTTCATAAACCCAAAATACTATTATAGCAGATTTTAGTAGGAGAATAGCTCTACTAAGGATTCGCTTGGTGAATGTTTATTTTACTTCTTAAGAGTGAGTTCATAGCTCAAAATCACGGGACCTGGTGCTTCTGCGACCAAGTGCGCTTACCATGGCAACGATGAATCTGGCAACCCAAATATCCCCCTGGCAGGAGCCCGTTACCCGGTGCTTTCATCTTCTCTAGCGACCCTCTAATTCAATCCTGTCTCGTGTCTTTTTATTTTTAGAACCACCTCTCACGGGGGTTTTCGCGGGTGTTTTTATAATAGCCAATCATAAGAGAGCTGTGTTCCTCTATTGTTATACGCCACATGTAGGCCACACGATTTTATTTTAATAATGGCGGAAAGCGAGGAAAGTTTATTATTTTTTAGGATGTTATGTGGACGTCAGCGTGTTTTTGCAGGAAATTAAAGAACTTTACTCCTGCAGATATCACAGTTCTAAAAATAAAAAGATACGGAACAGGGTCGACTCAAGGGTGAAATTCGTATGGAGGCTCCGGATAATAGGCTCCTGCCCCCTGGGTAATAATCTACAGGTTTGAACAAAGGGGTTTTTCATTTTCAGTTTTACTTCACTTTCCAATAAAGTACTGATGTCGTTATTGACTATGTTGGGACTTGATGATAGTGTTCGGAAATGTTAAGTGATCTAGAAATCTTCAATTTAAGCTTATAGTTGGTCACGGGTCTTGGGGAACTGATGTTCGCTCCCTAGGAAGTTAAAGGTATCAAAGGTAAAGTCTGCATACGAGCCAAGTGGCCCATCAGGCCGGAGCTTATCTCGGTTTCTGTTGCATGAAGCGACTAGGAGTATTTCTACTCGATCCTCTCTGGATGGGATGCTAGTCCATCGCAGAGCTACCCCTAGCATAGAATTTGCCAGTACTCATTTATACACCTGGGTGGAGAGAGGCACTATGAGAGTAAGGTGTCTTGCCTCAGAACACAACGCAATGACCCCGGCAAGGGCTCGAACCTAGCAGGACCGCTGGATGTGGAATCGAGCGCACCGAACCATGAGGTCTCCCAGAATATCACAATTAAAGATATTGATTGAATATTTATTACATCTGATTTACTGAGTACACAATATTTTTCTCTTATTAACATGAAGAATCATAACAAAGTCTCAAAATTAAGTTAATAAATGGCGGGTACTTTGATGCAATGATTAGCGCCTCTCATATTAGAGACGTACAAGGAGGGGATGCCAACCCCTCTTCCATAGCGTTTTTCAAAGTTTTGAAAAGACAATTTGTTCTAAGGGGGTAAAACTTTCAGTAGCTGTTCATTATTCCTTGGCAGAAATTTTGATAAGTCAATTGTGTGACCATAATTTTTGACGTTGCCATGTCAACCACAAATTTCATGTAGCTTTGGCCTAAAATCAACCATTTCGACATAATTTTGTATTTTTTGTTCCAGTTTTTTTCATCAGATTGCAGAAATTCGTCAATTTGTACATTTCATAAGCATTCTGGTTTGATTTTGTACTAGTTTCTGTTGTTTCTTGATTTTTTAAGAAAATAGTAAAATCCAAGATGGCGGGTCAAATGACGTAATTTGACGTAGTATGACGTCACAACCAACAATTATGGTATAACATTTTTGTAGAGCAAACTCAGGGCTATCTAATCAAGGTAAATTTCTTTTTCTGTGCTTTAGCAGAACGAAAACCAAAGGGGNTAGGGCAAGCCCAGGGCTATCTAATCTATGTAATTTTATTTCGCTCTGCCTTAGCAGAACGAAAACCCAGAGGGGGGGGGGGGTGGTTTTTACTAGACAGTAATTCCGCGTCTTGTCCCACGGTAGGGGTATGAGTTAGCTTGCACTTACGTTTTCGATAACACTTTTAAAACTCTTTGAAAACGGTTATTGATAAGAATTCATGACACAGAATATAAGCAATATTTGAAACAAATTAAGAACTTTGCCGCTTACTAAATTTAAGCGGGAATGGTATCACGGCGCACCATGGAAAGGTTGGGTACAATAACGTGAAGTTGACAGAACTGTGTTCTGATTGGCTCTATTTTCTATGGCATAGTATAAACAGCCGATCTATTTAGACACTATAGCCACATGACGGAAAAATTGACATGTGGATTCAATCATAATACCGCGCAAACTAATTCTACCAAGCTGGTGATGACAGTGTAGTTTAGTAAGATGTATCTTAACATGCCTAGAATTGCCTTAAATCGCCCAAAAAAGGCCTCATGTCGCCAAACGCCAAACGGACAGCGATTTTAGGTCTTGTTAACTTATCGAGATGGACAAGAGTTGCCGTGAGACAAGGTCGCATCGGTTCGTTTTCTTCGCCACAGGTTACACACCGCTTTCTATATGGATCGCTTTTGAATTGTTATCTGAGATGAAGGAAAGTTACTGCAGCTCTAATCTATCGAAACAGCAACTGTGAATATTCAGTTACACTGAGGATGAAAGTTTTCTCCTTAAAAATATTTCGTGGGGCTTAGCAAGCCGGTGAACGCAATCTACAAAAATGGCTTCATCGCACGAAGCTGATCTTGTCATGCGAGGTTGCATGCACAGCTGACGCCTGCTATTTTTATTTGAATTTGAAGGTCTGGAAAACAATTCCCTGAAGTTCTTATAACCTTCAGACAAATCACGCAACACTAACTGCTGGCTGAATTGCGTTCGGTTTTCTTATCTCTAACAACTCCAGAACAGCCTTTCGTAACTGGAAAATTACGTCATTTCGTGAAGGTCAGAAAAGCCAGATTATGCTAGCAGTGCTAAATTGAGATAAAAAATAAAAATCATGCTCGGTTTGATAAATCATGGCAAAAATTATGCTGGCAAAATCGACAAAAGCCTACAGGTTAAACCACTAAAACCGTTGGCGAATCAAGGTCAATCAAAGTAGCGAGTAGATGACCCGATTGCGACCAGACTCATCTTAGAATTGGTTCGGTTTTCCAAGAATTGGGGACGATCTCTGGCTGGTACGAACTGATCTACTTGGCAATAAGTTGATGTTGAGTACAAGGCATTTGCGTGATCTTGAGGAGTTGTGAAATCGTGAAGATGGCTGATTTTGCATCCTTGGCTAACCTGTTTCTTCTTCTGAGCATCACGGTACACCCGAGCGTTCAGGACAAAGGCACAACTCCCCGAATTAAAGAAATAGTGGTCGGTAGATGCTATGATTACCAATACAAAAAATTTGGCTCGAATTCAACAACTTGGAAGAACTGCAGTAAGATCTGGAACACGTTTCACAGGGCATTTGCTTGCAAGAATCCTTGTAACTTAACCTTTGACGACTACAAGCCGTATTTTGACGAGGTTGGAATGGCGGAGATTTACAATAAGGTGAGGACTGACTTTGCAGATCTACATCGTGGGAATTATGTAAAGGTCGAAGCCCCTTGGGTTCCAAATTGTGCTGTAAGAAACCCTCTATTACCGGTTACATCGATGGCGCGCTAATTGAGTATGTATTTTCAGTTCTAAAAATCCGCATACTATAAAGTCACAACCCGCATCGCTAACAGAAGTTGAACACATGTAAAAACATGAATAATCATCGCAGTTATGTACACAGCTTAAGCAGCTGTGAAAATAAAGTCTCAAAAATAATTCAGGCTTAAACGGGATTCGAACCCATGACCACTGCATGCCCACTGCATGGGAGCTGGTGACGTTGTGAGTTCGTAATATACCCGTAAAGGGAGAAGAATTCAAGTGAATATAT